TTTTAACACTTTATTCCCAGGCTAGTAACTTTTCTGCCTGGAGTTTCATTGTGCTTCCTACACACCCATCAGCCTGAATCCATCCTCTGTCTCACCAGGACATTTACAGCCACGTTATGCAGTAACTCTTGGTCCTTCACATCCATCACCCCAGGATTTGGTACTGGCAGAATTTGGCTTAACCAACTGTCTTTCAGTCTCAGAGGGTCCCCACTTCTATTACATTGCTGGCCAGTATGATGCATTGGCCCTTCCCTTCCTCACAAGGTACTCTCTTTACAGAACCCCAAATCATCAAGCAAGAGAAGGATGGATTTCTACCACCAAGTTGTTACAGTGGGGCTGGTAACACCCATATAGTTAAGATTGAAACTAGCTTACTGTTTAACAGGACTTTGTCAAGCCGGGCCTTAAAAACCTCTAAGGATGGAGATTACCCCACCTCCTGATGTAACACATTCCAGTGCTTCACCGCCTGCCTAGTGAAATAGTTTTTCCTAATATCCAACCTAGATCTCCCCTACTGCAACTTGTTCTGTCATCTGCCACCACTGAGAACAGCCTAGCTCCATCCTCTTTGGAACCCCCCTTCAGGTAGTTGAAGGCTGCTATCAAATCCCCCCTCACTCTTCTCTTCTGCAGACTAAATAAGCCCAGTTCCCTCAGCCTCTCCTCCTAAGTCATGTGCCCCAGCCCACTAATAATTTTCGTTGCCCTCCTCTGGACTCTCCCCAATTTGTCCACATGCTTTCTGTAATGGCAATGCTCCTACTAATGCAGCCCAATATGCTGTTAGCCTTCTTGGCAACAAGGGCACATTGTTGACTCATATCCAGCTTCTCGTCCACTGTAATCCCCAGGTCCTTTTTTGCATAACTGCTGCTTAGCCAGTCGGTCCCCAGCCTGTAGCAGTGCATGGGATTCTTCCATCCTAAGTGCAGGACTCTGCACTTGTCCTTGTTGAACCTCATCAGATATCTTTTGGCCCAATCCTCCAATTTGTCTAGGTCACTCTGGACCCTATCCCTACCCTCCAGCGTATCTACCTCTCCCCCCAGCTTAGTTTCATCTGCGAACTTGCTGAGGGTGCAATCCACCCCATCATCTAGATCATTGAACAAAACTGGCCCCAGGACCGACCCCTGGGGCACTCCGCTTGATACCGGCTGCCAACTAGACATTGAGCCATTGATCACTACCCGCTGAGCCTGACGATCTATCCACCTTTCTATCCACCTTATAGTCCATTAATGCAATCCATACTTCTTTAACTGTACAGGGGCTTGCCAGCTCCAGGCCTCTGGCCCTTTAAGGCACAGGCCACCCTACCACAGTATGGTTTAAGAGCTGATAGTTCAAATTGCTCTAAAAGCTACATGCATACTCAGATTATTTTGAAAATTGCTATGCCTTGTCAGAGCCAGGGATAGAGTGAGTGGTGCCAGTCTGAGATCAGTTGGCCCAGTGGTTCTTCAGGCACCGCCCCCTCAAGAAGGAGCTGATTTTAATATTCAAATTGCTCTAAAACCCATGTGTGTAGGGAGATTATCTTGAAAACTGGTATTCCACAAGAGAGGCTGACAGAGATCAAAGTTGGGGTCATTTGGTCAAGGGGTTCCCAAATTACAGCCCATTTACACTGAGCCGGCCATACCAATTTCAGATTCTTATAGCTTTTTTGATGCAGAGCTAGGGAAAATTCACACCCCAACCTTAACCTCAGCGCTAAGGTTTTTGGGCGGTGAATAATCAATAGAGTTCCTACGCTGCAGACCGTCTTCCTTAGACCCTAGTAATTGCCACTTTCAGTCTCTAGGTGGCTCTCTAGGTAAGGATGCCTTTGTGATGGAGAATTATTGAAAACAGCCATTGCTCCCACTGTTGCTTAGCTTATGCGTAGGCTGATGGGATCTCAGGTTTTGTACATGTTAGTGGAGGGAAAAATAGCATTTTCTGTCCTCAGGATTTCTTTTCCCACCAGGTTTCTGTCAAATCCACTTCTTTCCAAACAGTGCTGTAATAACTATAGTAGCATGTGGCAGTGGGATTAGCCTCTCTGTACTGCCTAAGAGTGTAGCTAATGCACAGTTAAAATCTCTCTCCTGCTATTGCTGGAACTGGAAGCTCCATTAACATTGCAGATTTTAGCATAAATTGGCCATCAGGATTAATGAAGCATTTAATAACGGAATCATAAACATTATCGATGGAAAAGGTCTGTTAGAGCTTAACTCTGTGACTCAACTGCATATCCTTGGATGATCTCACGAGTACAACCACAGGGTCCGATTCTCCTCTCACAGTGGTGTAAACCAGGAGTAACTACACAAACCAATGGAGTGACACCGGTGCAGAACTGCAGTCAGGGTGAAATTCACTCCTGTGCACTGGGCCAAGGGGACTTAGGCTGTGAATATGCCTGGTGCTGTCCCTGTGCTCAGAGGTGAAATTTACATTCAGTGAGGAAAAGGAAGGGCCTCCACCTCTCAAGATGTGAGATTTTGTTAAATCATGGTAAGATAAATTCCACAGATATTCTATTATAGCCCTTCTTAGATGCACATTCCAACACAAGACCCACTCCCCACCCCTCCCACAGACACGCTATATTCTCGGGGGCCAGATCATTTTCCTTGACTCCAGTGGTAATTTTGACTGAAAAAGGACTGACTGCAGGATTTGGCTCATAGAAGGTGACCAGAGAATCTGCCTTTGCAATGGCTTTCTAGAACTGAGGACAAAGATAGATAAGAGAACTTTATTGCCCATTTAGAATGGTTTGTAATGGGCAGTTTGGGTTTTAGGATTTGCTTCTTGCTGAATGAGCATTTCTTTCTTTGCATTAGCCACACAGCAGACAAAGTGTTAGGAACAGTGGAGGCAGTGCTCCCTTATCTGCAGTTATCTTGCCTTTTCTTAACATGAAATATTAATCCATAAAAGTGGATAAATATTAACAGCGTCTTGGCCGAGAACCCAAAAGGGGCAGAAGAGGAATTTGCCTCTTGCTGTTTTTCAGAAAGCTTTGAGAGGCACAATGCAGTCACTCCCCACTCTTCCCACCCTCCAACAATACTCCTGGCTGGTTCTGATGTTCATTCTCTAGGATTTTACAGCAGACGGAAGGGAGGCTTCCCGTGCCTCTCCCTGAGGACAGTGGAAAAAGAAGTTAGACCTGGGCTCGCACTGCATTTTAGTCCTTTCACACACAGTTCGATGCTGGCGAAAGGTGCCAAATTGCAGCGTCAACCTAAGGGCTATCCCTCCGCCCCATCCCATCCCAAGCGTGGAGGAACTGTGCCATGTAGTGTAAAGGAGAGAATCTCTTCTCTCAAGCTTCTCCCCCTTTTCCTCACAAAGTGCTCTGATAATGTAACCCAATAGCTAGGGATGAAAGCTTGCCACAGACTTTTTGCTTGAAGATCACAGATTACCCCGGGCTCCTCTATACACCCAGGACTGGTGCATTGGCTCAGAACACCATGGCCACAGGTCCCTCAATTCTAGAGCGAATCTCCGAGGAGCTCATGGCTCTCGGAGGCTGTGGCATCCCAGCTGCCCCTGAGGACATGAGCGGGCTGCAAGCCAAGCCCTCTCCTGGATAGTGTGGTATCTGGCTGCACACAGGGGCAGCTAAGCAGTGAATTAGGTACAGGACTGAGACCAGGGGTCTCTTGCATTCTAAGCCTGGCTCCAACACCAACTCCCTCTTATCTAGATCATTTAACCTCTCTGCCTTAGCTCCCCCGTCTGTTAAACTGGGTAACAACAGGTAACTATCTTGCCGGATGTGTCGTGATGATTAAGTACCTAAGGCAACATTTTGGGACTCTGACCTACATCACTTAGGCATTTTTGAACATTTTACCCTTAACATTTGTATATTGCTATATATCCGGGGTGAAATACTGCCCCTGCTGAAGTCACTGAGAGTTTTGCAGTGGGCCAGGATTTCACCTTAGGTATATGGCAAAATTCCTGAATGAGCACAAAGCCCCTCCAATAGCTAGAAACCAGCAGGCTCCCAGAGTCCTACCTTCTTTGGATAACTGTCTCTTACAAAACTTTCTGCAATGTTGGTGACTTTGTACAGTGGCCAGGACAAACAGCTGGGTTCCACGTTTGCAGCAGGAGGCTGGGGTAACCTTCTGATTTCCACCATGACCACCCACAACACAAACACTCCACATGTCAGAAGCCAGTTAAGTTTGAAGTGCACCCCAAAGAATCCTCTCTCTAACTCTTCTGCAAATCCTCCATCCTGCTCTGTGCACTGGAGTGAAACCATGGTTGCACTAGGGGGGAGGGGCAGCACAAAAACTTTTCATCAACTCACCCCCAAACTGCTCTGGCTAGTTTTGTCAAATCCACACTCCTGGAAGGAATTTATTTATCCACAAAACAGGTAGAGCACAGGTTGCAGCAGTGCACGTTTCTCTTACGCCACACCACCAATGTGCCTCCATTAATCTGGAGAGACCACCTTTAAAGCAGTACATTCTTTATGGCCCATTCCATCCTCAGCCTCGCAACTGAGTCTGCTGACTAAGGTTTTGTAATATGGGCATCTTTCTCTGAGGAACTGGAGCCATCAACTCAATTCACACGGGCCATCAGAGCCATCAGATGGGAACCAGTTTTCGGTTGTTCCAAAAATACAAGCTTTGCCTTGATTTGAACCATTGACCTAGAGTTAAAGGCTGCCCCACTGCCAGTCCCCTGAGTCATCCTGTCCTTTTGGCACACTGGAGTTGGATAGGATGTGAATTCCCTTTCTTGTTGGGCTCCCAGTCCTGTTCCAGAGACACAACAGTACAGAAAACAAGAATCAATGGCGACCTCTGTCCAAGAGTTAAAAGAGAATGGAGGAAAAATAAATACCAGCTTCTAATACCTCAGGTAAACTCCCATTTGATCTACTGTATTGGAGCTACAGAATTCCCTTCTGTCCCATCACCATTCAGTCACAATTTATCATTCTAGTGGCATTTCTTGGTCTCTATGTGTGTTTCTATCTGTCCAAAAGCAAGACACTTCAGGCAAACTTGTTTCCTCTTTGATTGCTTTATAAGGGCAATGTCTTTGGTTTTAAACTTCCTGATCTTGTCCGATGTTATAATGACCCACAGGAAACAGCCCTATGTCTCGCTGTCGTGTTCTAGAGCCTATCATTGAATCCCCACAAGTTCAGTTATTGGGGGTGCATTAACCATCAGTTCCTCGTAACCGTGTAGGAACAGCTGTAGTCGGGACATATAGGAGTCCTCGTTGTATGGCAGCTTCTTCTTTTTCAGGTACTGGGAGACTATGGGCTTGATCTAAAAGGGAAAGGTAGTATTAAAATGGCACAGTAAATTCTAATGATGATGACTTACATTTGTACAGGGCCTTTCCTCCAAAGTGATCATTAAGCCCTTTGAAAACTATGCATGTAGGAATCATATCGCCTACTGCCAAAATGTAGCCAACTGTGGGGTGGAATGCAAAAACTGCTTAACAGTAGCTAACATTACACAATGGCTTAACTCAGGGAATGAAGATGAATACAGTATCCAACTCGAGCAGCAAAGGGTTCTCTTGTCATAAGGGCCAGACAACCACAAGCGCTCACTACTTTGATCTTGCACCTCATCTGAAAGCTAGGATCTCCGCCATCCTTCCCTCATACCACGCTGGGGCACTGGTTCAATATTGGCACAGAGGGAAGAGTGCCACCTACTGAACTACCAACATCACCTTTTGCAGCACCTGAAGGTTGGTTTGTTTGTTTTTTGAGACCTCCCAAGCCTGACCTTGCTCACCTTGTGAGATCTGACAAGGACACTGCCTTGAGTTGGTATCACAGTAGCACCATGTCTTTATTGTTACTAACACCAGAAGTATACATGGGCCTGTAAAATTAGTAAATGGTGTCAAATGAACACAGTGTAGAGATGGGCCTGGACTGCAAAGTATAGCTCCAGATCTCAGCTTTCCCAAAATTTCGGGGTGTTTGGATCTAGGGTTTTGGTTGGAGCCTACATCTAATACACTGCAAGTGGACGAATGAACACAATACAGGTCAACCATAGCAGGTGTATGATGATTATAGCTGGAATTATTCACAGATTAGGCGGGGCCTGAAAAGCTTTCCCAGGAGGAGAGGGGGGACTTTGCTAAACACTCACTGGAAGGCTGTTACAATAATAAAGCACAAAGTCAAGAATGGAGGAAGGAGACAACGGAAGAAGGTTGGAGAGAAGATTGACTAGAGTGTGGGGAGGAAGAAGTGGAGTGGGAGAAAGTGAGGACAGAGACCTAGTTAGAGTTGGAGTTATGAAGTGTTCTGAAAATGGGAAGGAGTCTAAAATGAGGAAGAAGAGGGTAAGCCAGTGCAAAGAGAAGAGTGCAGAAGCATGGTCAGAGCTGCAAGTTAGGGAAAGAGGCTTACCACCTCCATTTTAGTTAACTGGAAGGGGGAAACACACAAACTTATCTCCTCATTACCTCTTCCCATGCTCATCAATCTTCTCTATGCTAAATGGGGCTCCCCCTCCTATCCCCCTCCCTCCACACACCTTCTGGACATGCCCTCCTTTTATCTTACCTTCAGGCACATGTTGTCAGAGAGGTTTGGGAAGAGGTGATGCTCCACATGGCAGCTGATGATTGAGTGCCCAAAGGACCAGTCCAGCAGGGCATTCCGGGGCAGATTCAGAACTCCAAGGCTCATCAGGTGAATCCGCTTGGGCTTCTTATCAGCAGAGAACATCGGGAGGCCAATGTGCTACAAGACAAAACAGGAAGACTATGGCATCTCTTCCTACAGCAGGCAGATAGGGAGCAGGGCTTCCTGAGGACAAGGGTGGAATCCAGCTGTCAGGCCAGGGCAGAAGAGTGGCAGTTTCTTGAACTCCTCATCCTTTTCTGTACATGATCTTGTGAGTCTCCTTCTTTATGGGGATGAGGAGTCCTCATAAAAGGTAACAGGCTAGTGCCATCAACTGGAATGCTCTAGTTTCCCACTCACTACTTACAAGTCAAGCATGGTGTGGAAGCATTCACACACTGCTCCCCACACATTATCCCAGGGCCACCCATTCATGGCAAATAGAAAAGAAGCTTCTGTGTCAGAGTCCAATGACACCACAGTAGCTTGGAAACACCAGCGGCTTCAGAGGGGTTAACCTGCCTAAATGTGATCAGAATCCGGCCATCTATATGCATTTCATCCTAGGCCTGTCAAGACTGATCTATCAATGAATCCCCAACGTGCAAGGACCACCCACTTTTGTGGTTCTATGCTCATTCCATCTTTCCCAAATGCACCTGGATTTTAAAGTCACATCTTCTCTTAGTGTGGGAAGGGGCCAATTCTGATCTCATTTATACCTGTATAAAACTGGATAAATTCCACTGAACTCAGTAGACTTGTTCCATTTTTACACCACTGTAATTAAGATCAGAATCCAGCCTTCTGTGTTCATTCTGTCTCAACTTTCTGCACACTGCTATGCCAACTGACATCAGTCTCCTCGACATTTTGGACCTGAGTCTAATCCGATGTGAAATCAGTGCAACTGAGATCAGAATCAGGTTGTTTGTCTTAAGTTTATAGACACTTCAATTGCCAAAGTCAAAGTGAAAGCTATTTAATTAATACAGGGAGCTTTGCTTTGTTTTATTTCCAAGGACTTTGGTACAAGCTGGAGTTTGCAGCCTCTACCTGGAAGATGTTAACATGGATGTAGGGGTGGGCAAGGAGAGATCGTGTGATCAACATGCAGATGAGGGCAGACCACACTGATTGGAACCCTGAGACATTGACCAGGAGCCAGTAATGGGAGTAGAGCCCAAGAAACATGCAGCAGAGGGTCCGGAGAGCTGTTTTCAACTCAACATCCTTCAGCAAACCTATGAAAGAAAGAACAGACAACGTGTAGGGCAGCAGTCAACCCCTCCCCACATCTTCCAGGTTACCCAGCTGGGGAATAATGCTGTAATGTTTATATTCCAAATCCCAGGATAGGCACTGGTCAGTCACTATGTACAAATTCCAGGAGCACCTGATCCCAGACCCACTTCAACACCTAAGGTTCCACTGGCTTTCAGAAAAATTTTGAACAGTGTCACCAAGGGAGCTGTAGGACATGGATTTGTTTCTGGTTTAACTTGATTATTGTTCTAGTCCTGAGACAATTTATGGGTCAGATACTGAAGACCTTACTAAGCTTCAGCAGTCCTTACTCGGGTGAAATTCCCAACTGAAGTCAATAGGCATTTGCTTGAACAAGGACCGAGTAAAAATTAATTCTGCAACTCTTACTCATGCTGAGTAGCACTCACCCAAGTGAGTAGTCTCATTGACTGAATGCTACCGCTACTGTGCAACATGAGTTAGGGTTGCAGAATCAGGACTTAAATAATGACCTCAGAATTTGGTCCTATATATGATTTTTCTGCAAGCAATTAGCAGCTGTTCACTGCCCATGGTTGTGTGTTGGCCTCCTGTAGACTGAAGAGCTTCCATACACTATGAACGTTGTATTTCCCCAGTTATCATCCGGTCTCTTCTTCCAATGTCTGCACCACCTCATCCCATTCTTCCCACTGAGGCCATCTTCTTACACTCCCTAGCACTGACACCAGTACACTTCAAATATTTTCCATCCTTTTCTTTCATTATATTCCAGCCTAGCATGCCCCTCACCAATCCTACATACATCTAAGTAAGGACAACAGGATCTGGCCTGGGTAAGGGCTTCAGTGTTTGTATAATGCTTTGAAGATCTGAAGAAGTATATAAAAATCTGGATCCTGTTGTCCTTATCTAGGCAAAATACCTGCTGAAGTCAACGGGTCTGAGAATGGACTGAATTAAAAAAAAATAAGGATTTCAGGCACTTGGCCCATTGACTTCAATGTGAGATTTGCCTAAGGTCTTCAGTATTTGACTCAATATATTTAAATATTGAGTTTTTGTGAGTGCATTCCATTCTGAATGTAAAATCTGCTTCCAAAAGGATCCCTTTTGTGTTAGTTTAAGAATCAAGAAGCCCCGCAGATGGTTGTGGCAAATGCCTTAGTTTTGAGCAGATGGCCCAAAGGACTTCTCCTGCTCCTTTCTACTGTCTGTTATACGCACTTGTCCTGTCTCATCCTAACTTAGATTGTAAGCTGTTCAGGCAAGGGACTGCATTTGTACAGCTCCTAGCACCATCAGGCCTTTAACCTGACTGCGGCTTCCATAATGCCGATAATTGTAGTTATCTTTTGGGGCCCTTACAAACGAGTTTAATTTTTAGTTTAAAAAAACTTTTAGGTTTTAAACAATACTTATAGAAGAAAAATATCTCAGAGGAAAGCAACATACCAAGTGCCACTAGAGGGGTTAAAATAGGTATAGCAATGGGTGCAATGAACATGTAGACATATCGGTTCAAGAAAGGAAGCTTCCAAGTACTGGAATCTCCTAGTTTGATAACATTAGTGTAACCATGGTGGAGTTTCACATGGTTGTAGTATGCCTGCTCTGCTGTGAAAGCCGAGCAAACCTGGAAGAGAAAGAAAGGAGAACGAAATGAAGAACAGTGTGCATGCAAGGATCAGAACATGGCAGGTACACAACATTGTCTCACTGGGATGACCCTACCATAGAGGTTCACACTCAAAGCCTTGTTATTGTCGTGCACTAGGACAAGATATGATATAACTACACCCGAGAAATGCATCTTTGTCTGCGCCACATATGCCCTAAAATGCTATTGAAGCTGCATGATACAAGCATGGTAGATAATTTCTGGAGTTACACAAAGATATGTACTTTACAGCTGAGGACAGTACTAATCTCTAAGGTCATTTACCATGATAAGAACATTCCACTTACACAAAGTTATTCAGGTTTACTGATCACCAGAGACAGCCTTGAGCCAAAACCCTGAATCAAACAACCCCCTACTTGAGGGTAAGTTGAAAGTGAGAGGCAGAATTGAGGCTCAGGCCCAGCTCCATTAAGTGATGCATCTAGTGATCAGGTATACGTTTGGCTGTTCTGAATGTATGAACTCTTACACAGGTAGGAGCTCATGTCTGTGCCCTAACTGATTGGAAAGCTAATTTCTCTTCATTTTGGAAATTCCAATTTTCCAGTATGGTCTCAGAGTTGATGTATGGCCTTAATATGACAAGAAGATATTATAACAAATCTGTGTTCACTTTTTACTTCCTGGTTATCACTACATTGCATATCAGGGCCATTTGCAATTTTGCAGCACCAGCAGAGATAGAATTCACTTCCTCCTGCTTCAAAAAAGCACAAACTCCTGCCAGCTGAGCCAAAGGAGAATCTCTGGGAATCATCAACAATATAGAGACTATAACACATTCCTGAACAGTTCTGATTCCACCCAGTAGAGGGCAGTGGTGTACATACTTAATAGCCAGCAGATTGCAGTGCTCATTCTATCTATACCAGGGGTCGGCAACCTTTGGCACGCGGCTCGCCAGGGTAAGCACCCTGGCGGGCCGGGTCAGTTTATTTACCTGCTGACGCGGCAGGTTCGGCCGATCGCAGCCCCCACTGGCCGCGGTTCGCCGTCCCGGGCCAATGGGGGCGGCGGGAAGCGGCGCAGGCGAGGGATGTGCTGGCCGCGGCTTCCCGCTGCCCCCATTGGCCCGGGACGGCGAACCGCGGCCAGTGGGGGCCGCAATCGGCCGAACCTGCCGCGTCAGCAGGTAAATAAACTGGCCCAGCCCGCCAGGGTGCTTACCCTGGCGAGCCACGTGCCAAACGTTGCCAACCCCTGATCTATACAGACAATCTACAGTCAAAAACATGTTTTTCTAGTTCTGCTACGGTGTTATTAATTTAAAAGAATAAAGTTAGTTAGCAGAACGAATTCGTTTTTAAAAGGAATTTTTTTCTCTGAATATATCTGTCCCTTGATCGGAAAGTGCTACTAGTTCAGCACATTAGGGACTGGCTTTTGAAATGAAGATGTGATCCCAGGAGCTGTTGTATTCACAAGTTATGGATCAGTGGAGCAGGTGGTTATCAGGAGAAGACTGAAGAGGATTGCCTTCATTTCCTTTGGCATTTTCAAAATCAGAAAAAAACCTCTCCCCTCTTTGGAGAGGAACGTGGCAGTTAATACACTGCAACTTGTTGAGCCGTTGATTAGAGCTAATGTGCCAAATTCTGATCTCAGTTACACCCACATGAATCGAAAGTAACTGAGTTAAGAATCTGGTGATGAGTTGCCATCAAGGTATCTGACAGAACTGCCTCTGCTCAATGGAAATGTGCTTCTATGCATATTATCTACCCCATCCCCAGGTATGTACACACATTCATAGGCGCCGACTCCGTGGGTGCTCTGGGGCTGGAGCACCCATGGGGAAAAATTAGTGGGTGCTCTGCACGCACCGGCAGCCAAGCTCCCCTTCCCACCCCACCTCACCTCACCTTCGCCTCTTCCCCTGAGCGTGCCGTGTCCCCGCTCCTCCACCTACCTCCCAGCACTTGCCACTGCCAAACAGCTGTTTGGCGGCATAGCAAGCTCCAGGAGGGAGGGGGGAGAAGCAGGAACATGGCACTCTCAGGGGAGGAGGCAGGGAAGAGGTGGGGCCAGGGCGGAGATTTGGGGAAGGAGTCGGAATAGGGGCAGGGAGAGAGTGGAGTTGGGGCAGGGACTTTGGGGAAGGGGTTGAAATGGGGGCGGGGCAGGGGCGGGAGGGGGCAGGGCCGGAGGCTGAGCGGGATCGACCACCCTCCGGCACCAGCAGAAGTCGGTGCCTATGCACACATTCACATTCACATGCCATGCGGGGATGCAGCAAACCACTCCACATCCATGCAACACTACAAGGTGTAGCTGTAAAGCTTTGCAGTGTTCTGCCTAGCTATCTAGGTTTTTATGGTCACCCAACACCATGAAATCTGAGCACTTCCTATATAAACGTACACACAGGAGCATTCTCACACACTGGTTACATACCTCAAGGAAGAATATGGCCCAAACTTTCCCCCAAGACTTGGACTCTGTCAAGGCATTGTGGCTGGCCAAGTGGCTTCCTTTCACTGTTACAGTGTGGTGCACTATGCCCAAGATGAAGATGCCCAACAGGAAGGGAAGGGCATTGTCTGAACGCAGACACAGGAACCCTACAGATAGAAAGAAAAACCTTGGAGCTGTTAAGCCTTCTAGATAGTCAAGATCAGACCAGTATAATGGCCAAGGCAAGAACCAGGGGGGACTGCTTTCCCCATAAGAACTACAGCTCTCCTGGGCAAATGAGATCTCATTTTGAAGGAGACTCCTTCAAAATGAGATCTCATTTTCCTTCTTCTCACCAACGTAAAGTGGAAATCCAGGTACCCAGTTCAGATACAACGGGGATGAGGGCCATAAAAGCATCTATCTTGTTTTGACAGATGAAAGTCTATGGGACAGGGAAATGTTCATGTAGTCTCCGGGACTGTCAGTGACAGACGAAAAGGGTTATGATGAAGGTTCTCTTTATGCTGACTATCCAACTCGCTTTCCCCCCCAAGTTTAAGGGCAAATACTTATGTAGTCAGAGTGCCCTGCACACATCAGGGGATTCTTGCACTCCTCCAGTCTCCCCCACAAGCTCCCTGGGCATTACTCTCCCATCCCCCACTATTTCAGGGACTCCCAGCAACTCCCTGCCTCGTTCATGCCATGGGCTCTGTGTCCCTCCCAGCCTCCCTACCAGGGTCCCCCATTCTTCCCCTGCCCCCCCCAACCACAGAGACTGTGTGTGCACCTTGTGGATAAACATGACTAAAACACAATTCCTAACTCCCCCATCCCCACTAGTAAGCCCTCCCCTCTCTCTCTTTTCTCAACCACCACGGACAACACCATCATCCAGGCCCATAACCATGGGAAGCGTGGCGCATAGGCTGGGGAAGGCTGTGCCTCCCCAAACAGCCCGGCGTAGCCCCGCTCACGCTCCTCCCCAAAGCCCTGCTTGTCCTTCCCCCTTGGCCCCAGCCCAGGCAGGCTGGTCCTTTTCAGGGAAGCAGCATGCTGGGGCTAGGGCAGCCGGGACTTGGGGTGGCTGAGGCCGCCCAGCGTTGGGGGGCCCCAGGAGCTGGGGTGACACTGCCTGGAGCTCGGAGCGGGGAGCCAGAGGTGCTGGGGCTGCCCACCCTGTGCTTAGGGGGGTCAGAGGGGCCACACACTGCCCGTCCTGTGCTTGGTGGCTGGGACCGCTTACCACCGGCCCGCCCTGTGCTCGGGGGCTGGGGGCGCCGCTCATCCGGCACTGGGGGCTCTGGCGGGGGAAGGGGGCAGATCCTCGGGCGAGGGGACGGGGCTGGCCGGGGGCTAGCCTCCCGCAGCCGGCGGGTCAGAACCTGGGCATCACCTTCAACCCGAACCTCTCTCTGATCCTCACATCCAGGCTATATCTAAATCTTCTCCCGCCAACATAGCTACCGCCTCTCGCAGAGGTGGAGTTATTAAACCAACGGGAAAGTGCTCTCCCATCAGCTTAGAGCATCTTCACCAGACACACTGCAGTGGCACAACTGGGCCGATGCAAGTTTGTAGTGTAGGCCTGCAAAAGGAATCAGCAAGATTTAGATATAGTCTAGATGTGAGGATCAGAGAGAACACATATTGCAAGGGACCACTGAAGGTGAAGTGGCCAGTTATTACCTCTCCAGGCATGAACGAGGGAGAAAATGGAGGAGTAGTGGGTTATAATTGTTGTAATAAGCCATAAATCCAGTGTCTTTATTCACTCCATGATTTTTAGTGTCTAGCAAAGTTATGAATTTAAGCTCCCAGGCTCGTCTTTTGAAGGCGGTGAGCAGGTTTCCAACAGAAGGTGTTACATCTGCCGAACCGGAAAGGTCCAATGACATCAGACTGACTATTGTGGGACGATAAAGAGGACAAAAGACATTTGTTGTTTTGTCCCTCCCTCCATGAACAGGAGTCATGCAAGTGGATTTCTCCTGTCAGCTGAGCTTGCAGCTCAGAGCACAAGGGAAGAGGGAGATAAAAACCCCTAACAAGAAGGAACTGGATCTCTATGCTGATTGGACTCTGGAGGGGCAAGGTTTAGAAGGCACAAGCAAGGCATCCCATGATGCCTACAAATAACTCCAGAATGTTTAGCCTGTTGGTGCTGAAACACTGCCCATCACACTGACCAATACTGTCTCATTGTTCACTTGTACACACGCACACACCATCTATATCCATCTGCTGTCTCTTATCTCTTATCTTATATTTTGATTGTGAACTCCTTGGAGCAGGGACCACCTTTTTGCTCTGTATTTGCACAATGCCTAGCACAATGGAGCTCTTGTCCATGACTGGAGCTCCTAGGTGCTACAGTAATACAAATAATAATTTCCCATTTTCCCTCCATGCCCTCTTTTCCTCATTCCACCCTATACCCCCCCCATTCCCTCCATGCCAGAGGATCTGTTTGCTCCCCATTTTCCCCATGCCAGGGTCTCCCATTCTCCCCCCACTCCATCAGGGGCTGTGTGTGTGCCCCCCTTCCTCCCAGGCCCCTCCATTGCCCCCTTCCCACCCACCATTTTTATTTTCCTTTCTTTCTCTCTCTTTCTTTCAGGGTGTTAACACTTTTAAACTGTATTGGGAGGAGTGGGAGAGCTAAATTGAGGAGCATTGTTAATGGCTGCCATCAATTGGCTCTTTGATCTATAGATTATTATAGGTGGTTGAAGCAGCTGGCTCTGCTAACCAGATGCCAGGGACACCATGTGTCCCCCATTTCCCCCTTCCAATTTTTGCATTTCCACCAAAATCAATAGAACATTCCCTAACATTTTGGAATTGATTGGATACAGCATTCATAAGTTATTGCATTGCATCCAAATATCCAAACAGAGAAATGCCATTATGGTGAGTGGAAGTCCTTGCACGGTTGGTCAAATAAACAGTGATGGCAAAATGTTCCAGAGTTCTGGTTCAGCTCAGCTAAGCAGCCATAAACCCAGGTATCTAAGTCCCCCCTCCCTCCTTTTCTCCTTGTGGGTGACCTCTTTCCTTCCACATTAAAGCCAAGGCTTTGCTCCTCACTTTTAAGGGACTCCATAAATCTGTTCCCTACATCTTAATCTGTATCTCCAGCTGCACCCAACCACATCCAAGGAAGCTTCCCTCCTAAGAGCTCCCTTCATCTCTCTTTCCCCACTCCCAACTCAATGCCCTCTGTCACGCTGCTTAGTATGCTTTGGCCAACACCCAACTCCCATTCGTTCCTTATTCAAAACACTTCTGAGAAGCTACCTAACTTGTGCATTTTCTAGCTACAATCACGCCATTATTGACTTCAATGGGATACATTTGGCTCATGCTGTTTAGATGTAGAATTAAGCGCAGGCTGCTGTCTTCATAATTCCATCCTGATGCAACACTTCCAGGAGATGACACCTCGCTAGCTCCCAAACTGGTTTAGGGGCCAGTGAAAGGAGTGCGAGCACTGTCTGTAGGGTGTAGAAGCACTCCAGTATAACTGGGACAAACCTGGAAATACCTGTCCCAGGATGAGTGGAGAACCACCAGCCACAGGACAGTGCGACACCTACGCTCGCAAGTGGTTGCTTCTCGTACCCCTTATTCACAGCAAAAATTAGTGCTCACTGGCTGCCAGATGACAAATGAGGGCCTGTATTGGCAATTCTTGCACATCCTGAGAGAAGCTGCAAGACCAGCTCGGCCCGTAGTTAAAAATACATCTCTCCTACACCACACCCACCATCAGAACCATAAGAAGTGACTCATATAAATACAATAACAAAGCTTCCACGGCAGGGCTGAGCTCCCCCTTTGAAGAGCTCACTGGGACAGACCGAGCTAGTATTAATTGGCAGCCCAATTGTGCTGAACAAGGAAGGTTTCCCCAGATGCACATCTTTGCATCAAAGGGTTAAATCAGAGACCGAGGCACTGAAAAGGCTGCTGCCTCGGCATCCCACTTACCTGAAGCTCACCTGTACACTTCATCCGGATCCACAGGAACAATTACAAGCTGCATCAACTCCTTAAGCCTGAGCAGGTTTAAAGCACAGGTACTGAAATGATGCTGAACACAGTTCAGCTCTACTATATTCAGGTTCTTATGCTGCTCCCATCACCACAGTATCTGAGGCCCCTTTTGCCTGGCGCTACACTTGCAGTTAAACTGCATTCAGCACTGGCTCAGCTGTGCCCACTGCTGACCCCAATTGTCACCAACAGCTAATTGTGTTCATATAATGCAGATCTCGGACACCATCCCCCGCGGCAGCTCCCACGGGGCAGTATGGGAAGTAGGGCTTTGGAACACAGGGGCAGTACTTGGAGGTGCCTTTCGCCCCATCAGCGGCAACATCTAAGTGGTTAATAACCAGCTGAGCTTTCATGCCTACTAACACAAAGAGAATACGGTTCCCTGTTAATGTGTAATGAGAAACCAATAAGGAGACACAGGGGCCCTTCCCTTCCTTCCCTTAGTTGACACAAACCTTCCTACTTTTACCTGCAGGAAGGATGAGGAAGTTCAGGGCAATGATGGAGTCATCTATGCCATGTCTCTCCCACCAGCTGCTTCTCTTCACCACCTGCTGCACCAGCTCAGAGAGCTCCCCCATCAGGGCTTCCTCACGTCTCCCCTCCTCGGGCGGCTCCGCTTCCTCCTTGGCACCTCTCTGAAAGACCCTCGGCATCTCTTCTCCTCCGGAGGTGTTTCCATCTCCATCCAGGACTGGATGATTTAAGGTGGGCCCTGGATCCTGTCCTTTCGGAGTCACCTCCTGTTCTGGGGGACCCGCTCTGCTGATGCCAGTCTGCAGCTGTTGTGTTGGATCTGCAATCTCTTGACTCGGTGTGTCCCCTTGCCCCAATTTCTCACCTTTCTCCTGGACATTTCTTCCTTCTCCTGGGGGTTCTGGCTGTTCCACTCCATGGTTTAGGGGAGAACCTTTTTGCAGTGGCTCTATCCTGGCTGCCCCTGCCTCACTTGGCTGCTCTCCTTTCTGTCTCTCTTGGTACAGGTCCTGATTCTCCATCAGCATCTCCTGCCATGGCTCCATCCCCCTGTAGAGCACAGGACACTGCAGAGTGATCCAACGTCCCAGTACCTCTGCAGGATCAGATAACAAATGAGCCTGTCCTGGGAAGGGCAGAGGCAGCAGAGAAATGCAGCTGGCCTTGGCAGAAGTGCCACAGTGCGCAATCTGAAATGCTTGCAGACTGCAAGCTCAAATTGCTTAGCGCTAGTAATGTGAAGCTGGCTTTAGTCCCATCCCTAGACTCTGCCCCTTTCTCACCCTCATCTGCTTCCTCCACGCCCTTTCTGACTCTCTCTCCCTCATGGTGCTGCTGTGTCTGTTGCCCTTGGCTCTCTCTGTCATGAAGAATAGCTTGTGCAGGCAGGCAGGAGCTCTGCTGCTCTCACCAGAGCCAAAGGACGTGAGAAGGGCAGCGATATAAAAAAAAAAAAGTTACTGCTCCGATAGAAGAGCACAGAGCTGTGCTGGAGGCAAGAAGAGGGAGAACAAAGAGAGCAGAGAGAGACACAGAACAGCTGGGGGAAACCTTGTATGCATGCCAAGCATCCTTGTTAGGAGGGACAGTTCCTATCCTACTGTCTCTTCCTAAAGCTCCTTTAGCCCCAGGGATTTTAAAGGAGTTAAAAGGCGTGCTCCTATTTTTCTCTCCAAATGTTCCTACATATAGGCACCAAATACAAGCGGGTTTAGGAGGGAAAACAAGGAGCAGGGAGGGGAAAGAGTTTGCAGCAGCATTAACCCATTTCTAAAAGCAGCCATCAGCATAGTATCTGGGAATTTGTAGCACATGGAATGTCCCTGGGAAGGGGGGGGGCAGGGAGGGAGAAAAGGGGTAGGAAAAAGAGACTGTAATAAGAGCTGGAGATAGAAAGACAGGCAGTGGAAATGGTAAAGGTGGAGAAATCCACTGGTGGAAACTACTGAGAGAAACACCAGCAGTGTATCTAGGCCAGAGGATATTGTTTCATTTACTCCCAAGAGAAGAGGAGCCAGAGGAAGCACAGAGGGTATTGGGTGGATCTGTTGTCTCAGGCTCAACAGCCTTTAATGAGCAGATTAAGAGAAGTCAGGGGTGAGGGATAGAATCAGAGTTACAAAGAGACACAGCCAGATGGGTGCAAAGGGGTTACAGTACCAGAAATCAGGTGCCAGGTGACACATGCATGTTCTCTTGCTCTCTGTTTCTAGTTTGCTCTCTCCTCTTCTGCAAGTTGAGAGATTGAGGCTGTGGGGTTTTGCCTGGCTACAAACTATAGCAGAGGTTTCCTGTAAAAGACTTGTTCTTTGGGGATACTATTCTCCCTTCTTGCTGGGGACTTCACCCAGTCCATTTGGGACCCATAAGGAACATCTCCTCTGGGGTCCATAACAGCAGCACATGCACATGCTGAACCATTAATTAAGCCAGACCCCCAGACCAAGAGGAGAGAGATCACAGGAACCCCCTAGGAGGGTGAAGAGACCTTGGATTTCATAGCGGGTTGAAACAAACGGTTGGCTGGGCACAGAATGTCCCCAGTAAACACATACCTAAGGTTCTATCTTACAGCCCTTCTCCAGAGCCAATGCACTGGCACTACATCATGACTGTGGAGTAGGTGCCACCCACTAAAGGATTAATCAGAACTTGCTACATAGGAGTCTCCTGCCCCCAGGCCACTGCTCAGCCAACATGCATTGCTTGGATGTAGTAATGCCTATATAATTAATACCCTTGTGGGGGTGGATTTCTGGGAGAACCAGTCTCCGCTTGGAGAATGCTCTAGGTTCCTCGCCTGCTCCTGCCATTGAACTGAGTTTCTAAATAAAACATCTATTTATCTCTCTAGCATCATGGCCACGTTGGGGATTTGGCCCAGTGGCAGTCATCAGCGGCTGGCTACTGATGTAGCTCCTCCAGCACACATCTTTGGTGTAGAAAAGGGAGGTTGCTATGAGCCATGATTTGCACCTGTGCAGTTTACCCCATTTCAAGCAGGGGTAACTTCACTGATGCAAACTGTGACTTACATTGGCTTTGGCTGCTTACACTAGGGGTTTGCACTAGTGCAGCTACACTGATGGCTAAAACCCCTAGTGTAGACAAAGCCCAATTCACCTCCAGACTTTTATTATTGCTTCAACCACAACAGTCTGGCACAGCAGTATCCCTAGCTATGGCTCTGCTTTCTGCATACAACATTTTTAGTATTATTATTTGTATAATCATAGTGCCTAGGGGCCTCCTCAGTCATGGACCAGGACCCCTTGTGCTGGGCACTGTACACACACATAAAAGAACCCTGCTTGGCTGCCTGCTAGCTAAGGGGCAGACTATAGAAGGAGACAGATCAAGAAACACATTCCATTTGTTGTCTCACGGAGACTTTATATTTGTTCCTTCTTACTGTGTTGTCTCCTTCAATCTAAAATAAAAGCCACTTAGCCTGGAAGGTACAGCTGATTGACCAATAAAAGGAAACCTGGTTCATAAGTATCTGTATGTGTAAAAATATAGAGTTTAGTTCACTCTGATTCACAGGCAGGGCCGGCTCTAGGCACCAGCAAAACAAGCTGGTGCTTGGGGCGGCATATTTTTAGGGGCGGCATGGCCAGTGCCAGAATGCCACCCTAGCTCACCTCCGCTGCTGCCGCTCGTGCGCCACGGCGCGCGAAACAGCTGATTCGCGCGCCGCTGCTCGCCCTCCCTCCCAGGTTTGAGAGCCTGGGAGGGAGGGGGAGACTCTGAGTGGCCGCGGCGCGCGCGCCGCTTCTCCCCCTCCCTCCTAGGCTTGAGAGCCTGGGGGGAGGAGGCAGGGCTGGGGATTTGGGGAAGGGGCGGAGCTGAGGCGGGGCTGGGGGTGGGGTAAGAAAAAAACGGGGGGGGGGGGCAGCCAAAATTGTTTCTGCTTGGGACAGCAAAAATCCTAGAGCCGACCCTGTTCACAGGGTCACAGTAGTAGTTATTCACTATTAGATTAAATTTACCCCGGGCAGAGGGCTAGCACGGGGCCTATGCACCATCTGCATTCCACTTAAGCCTTCAAAACAGAGCTTATCTGGGATGAGAGTAGAGCAGAGGCCTCACTGTGATGAACCTCCCTTATTATTTGGACAACTATTGTGTCATGTGAATCCTGAGTGTCACCCATTTTAACACAAATGACTATTCATTCAAAACGGTATTCTGAATGTTCATATTTGTCCCTCATTATCCACCCGCTTTGAAAGTTTTAGTCATAAAACAAGGGTGGAGAAACAATACCATGTGACTTCCTGTGGGTGACCAATCGCACCACACAACCGGAAAATAGCAAACAGCAAAAGTGAACAGTTTGTGCACAATCAATAGGCTGCAATGGTTTGTGAAAACTCTGGTGAATGCTTACATCTAGCAAATACATTCACATGACTCAGTTCCTAACAAGCAGCAAATGCCTCTAACACTGTATGCACAGTACCCCACAACTTGATCACGACTGAAGTCTTTGAGTACCGCAGTAAAAGAAGTGCTTTATTAATAATCATAATCACCAAAAATGGAGCTAAATTCATAACAAACAGTTCATCCAGTTCTCCCTAAACTACATGGTTTCATCATCTGTGCATGGAAAGAACAGCGGCAAAAAGGACAGGGTTGATAGTATTTTAAAGAAGAAAGGAAGAAAAAGAGAAGAAAAAAGTAAAAAAACAGGCCTGTCTCAGCGGAGTCTGACTTGTGCTCTGACAAAGGTACTCCAGCTGTAGCCCCCATAAGGGGCATCTAGCTTTGCTAAGCAAATGATTTACAGCCAAGAGGAAAAAAGTACTATGTTTATGTCAGAAGTTGGCTCAAAGTCATTTCTTCTCCCAAAGGACCTCATGGCAACACAATATTAGGTGACACTGAATGTAACAAGCTCATTAAAGGATTAGATTTTTATTCCCATAGCAAACGTGTCTTGGCTGAAAGATCATTTCCTAAGCCACAGATGACTCTGAAACAGCATCTGAACTTGCAGCAAGTTTAAAATACTCTAACTCTACAGTGTGTGACTCTGGAGATACATGTGAACAGCTGAGAGATCATATTGAACATGGACTCATTAGCAACATCCTGTGAAACAAATTACTAAATGCTGCATGTGGAGGGGACATATCTTATGCAAGGACAGTGGGTGAAATTCACCTGAGTACAGAAAAGCTGCACACAGCCTTCTAAACTCCTTATGTGACCATTAAGAGCTTAAGTGGTGTGTTGGTCTTGTCTAGATTCTCTACATTTGGTCAAATTCCACCCATGATGATGATTTTGGAAAGTACTGCACTCAGCATGGAAAGGAACAAATGTCCACAGCCATCCAGGCTGTCCCCATTGGCTTACATTTGCAGATTCCATCTACAAAGTCATCCCACACACAGCCCCAGACAAGTCACCCATTGAAAACAGTATATAAAGCCGATCACATTTTCCCCCCCACCATCATCAAAGAGTCAGAGATTTAAGAAATTCCAATGCTGGTCCACTTTCACAGCGAGGACATATTGAGAGAGCACGTGAGAAAATGACAGTGGGGAAGCTAGCAGTGTCTTCATCAACACTAGGTTCTCAAACGCAGCACCAGACAAAGGAATATAATAACCAATAAGCCCTTGAGGCATCAGTTTGCGGTGCAGTGATTTTGGGGGTAATTTTTGGATACGGCCAGTGGGCGAACAGCAGCGGTGAGGGGAGTAACTGTGACAGTAAATTTAACTGTTGGTCTCAGGTGGAAAGGTCCTGCTCATCCGAACAGCCATCGGACTGAGGTGCTAAATTCTGACAGCTCAAGGGTTAACTGGGTCAGATGATCCAGTGTCGGAATTATGTATTAAACATCGCTCCGAGTTCAAATCGAGATGGGCATGTTACAAAAGGGACTGAGACTAAACTGTAGATTTAGACTGAGGAAACCATTCTAAAGCTTTGGAAAGTTAGACCAGGGCCTGGCAAGCTGTGGGATGCTGTGAATCAACAACTCGAAAAGCTCAAACATTAACTGTTAATCCCCCTTCACCCTAATGAGT